CACACACACACACACTCTCTCTCGCACATCTTCAAACAGCACGTGAGTTCTCAAATACTTATTCTTCGCTTGAATGTTTCAATTGATGAGGCTTAAAAACGAGTAAAGTTTTTTTCAATGTTTAGTTGAAACACAGATAGTGCGTGCTGCTCATGTCTCACCTAACTTTCAACACCCGGGTGATGAAGGCGTAAAGGACTGGTATACTAGCGTGCATACGGTGTTGTTTGTCCACGTTTTTTGATCATTGCTGTTGTACTGTGGGAAGCCGATAGGTCTGTTTTACGCGTTGTTATTTTCAACAAATCATATTCTACATGCATGGTCAGACTGGAGATGAGCCGTGCTGCAAGTGGGGTCAACCTCAAATGGACCGTGGTACGTACCAAGAGTCTCGTGGGTGATGTATCGCTGTTTTTCTGTTCCGGCTGAATATCGTTACACCCCTAACGTTAAGGCATCACATGTGGTTTTGTTGACGGTGCACCTGCTCTAATTCAGAAACTTTTTGGAGCCAGGGACCCCTTACAGGGGAGAGGATTTTCCAAGGACCCCCTCATAATTATAACAGTGTTTAAGGCTAGTTTAATGTGAGTAGGAGGAATGAACATATGATTGTTTTATTGGTGCAAATGGTCCCCATTGTATATGTACTTTTTAATACTACAGCATAATATATTAAAATGTACCATATTTTCCGGAAAGTTGCACCAGGTCAGGGGAAAAAAACAAAACATAAGTTGCATCGGTGTGCAAGTTGCATTTTACTATTACTTTCACAAATAATTTAAATACTGAATAGGTCGAAGTTAAACGAATGTTAGGGAAAAAACATTATAAACACTAACATTCATTTTACTTTGCATCACTCAAAATCGTTTAAATTTAGTGGCATTCATAACAGAACCAAAAAAATGTGCATATATATGTATAAAATTGTGTAGTGAGTTCATGAAACGCACCATCGAACGGAGTAGCCTATAGACTACTCTAGGGAAAAAAACTAACACCCAGTATAATTAATTACTGAGTAATGAGAATTTTTAAATATGTTAAGCATTTGTTGCGTATGTTAAGGTGTATCAGCGTGGGGGCGTTCCCTCTTTTCCTCGCTTTCCTTCGCTTTTAAATAGCTTGTAAAAACGCAGTGCGCATTTTACTTTCACTTTCAATTAGCGGCAGTTTGGCATCAATTGCTTGAATGCAACAACAAAATACAACGTCAAACTCACTTTAGCCTATATATGAAACAGAAATTTTATTAACAAACAAATAAAAGTACACCATGCTATAGGGCAGGCTATGCCTAATATAAAATAAACTTGCATAAAGTTTAAATAGGTATACAAAACTGGAAATAGGCAATAAGTAAACATGTATAATATATAACCAATTAAATAAGAAACATAGAACATTTAGTAGCAAAACGAGTAAGAAAGCTTGGAGGCATGGCATACACCTATTTAAAAAAATTTCCAAAATCAGCTTAGATAAACGGCAAAAGTCATTGAGCAGCCGCGTTCAGTTTTTAATTGTAGTGTCTGTTCTTTTACTGAACTAAATTATTTTTATTACGATAAAAAATCAAAACGATGGTGGGGGTCGGTGCCGCGGTGGGCAAGTGACGTAACCGGTGTTGCGGCTTAACACTGGTATCACCGTCTATCGCGGCAAGCCTAGCGTATGTGTATGATAACTTAGCCCGGTTATCATTTATTAGTAGAATGTTTTATTAAAATAAATAAATGCTTGTTTTTTTGCACCCACCTATAGAAAAATTAATCGGCGCCTATGGCTGTGTCCATAACAAACTAAACTTACTTACTAAAACTGAAACATAATCACGTAGTGGGCTTTATTCGGCTACTTATGTAAAGAAGGCTTTGTACTTCTCTCGTGTCCGAATATCTACAAACAGCATCCCTTACACACTAAAAAAAAGCTCATGCTGACCAGCAAAACCTACATATTGTACAACAGACAAGTTCAATTTAGTTTGCTGATGATGAGGCTGTGATGTCAAGCTGCAATGCTAGAACTGATTTGTTGTGTGCGCGCGGGAGGCGCCAGCTCGAACACTTTGGATTCCTTATATCAGCGGAAAAATGTGATATCCGTCAGATAAGAGCAAGACATCATTCAAAACGGTCTGTTTTTATTTGTGTACCTCCAAAAT